AATCTAATCGTTTGAGATATTATTCCGTTCCAAAGCTACCTTTAAAGATATCCAAAGTATAATTTCTAGTTTTAGAACTGCTGGAAAGAGAGGTGTGTGTCATTCCTGTTCAAACGGACATTATAGTTTCGAGATAAAGGATTGTTTACTACTTACTGTTTGTGACTACCATACATAGCCGAATCCAAGTCGAAACAATAAGTAGTTCGATTTTGAAACCCAATCATTTTTACCATTATTAGCTGCTTGTAAAAGCATGTTATAACGTGTTATAACACTTCTTTGGATATCTTACATTAGCCATATATAATGATCTAATCCAATATTTTACAGAAAGTTTATATTCAAAAATATACAAAGGGTATGTGCCACAGTCACCCAGTACTGTGTAAGTTGGCGTCGATGTCTTCACTCCAAGGAAGCGTTTACACGCAAACATATGAATGGTTTCTATATTTGTTACACTATTTAGCCCCCAAACCCGAGACCCACTGAGTAAAATAGGCACAATTTTAGTGTCAAATAGGGGCGGTGGGGTAGCCTAGTGGTTAAAGCGTTGGCTCGTCACGCCGAAGACCCGGGTTCGAATTCCCACATGGGAACAATGTGTGAAGCCCATTTCTGGTGTCCCCCGCCGTGATGTTGCTGGAATATTGCTAAAAGCGGCGTAAAACCAAAACTCAGTCAGTCAGTCAGTAGTGTCAAATATCCTAAAAAAGTAATTTAAATGGAATTGGTTTAAATCTATGGAATGTCCTAACGAAATTATGGAATGGCCTAACGAAACTTTTCTAGCCTGAGCAGCTGCTTGGTATGTTTATCCCACGACAATGTTTTAGTAAAAGTAATGCCCAAATATTTATAGGATGGCACGCACTCGAGACATTTCACTCCATAATATCATTTTCCCTTCTCGTGAGAATACTCCCATTCTTGAAAACAACCACTTTAGTCTTATCAAAAATAACTGTTAACTGGTAATTATTTCAATATGATTCTAGAATGTCTATTCTTTTCTGGACACAAAAGACTGTCAGATATCAAAATGCAAACAATAATATGAACAGTTTCATCATCTCTGGATGAAGCTGGATGCCGGGTTTACACGTGGATTCAATTTCCTGTGCTGATTCATTAATAAAAATAGAAAACAGATATGTGCTAAGGGCGCAACCCTGCCGTACACCCAAATCACAGTCAAACAGATATTATTTAGACTTAACACATGAACATACTCGATTGTATATGCACTAAGCAGCAAAAGAAACATCAGTTTGGAATTTTCCGTCTCAGAAACGGATAACTGTATACCCATTTAATGTTTTGGTTGTCCATTTTTGACAAAGTGTCCAACTGTACCTGAGCAAAGACATTCCATGTACTAGAATCTGTACTTTACTACTAAGAAAGTGTAATCCCAAATATGACATATGTTACATTTGACCACTTTCTAAATGGCATTGTGTATTTCATAGCTTTCGGCCGTGGGAGCCGTGCCAATTAACACTTATCAGAGGGGTACACCAAGTCCGCAGTCTAGACTACCAGTTGTCCGACTTCCATTTTTGTGGAAGCCGCGGTGGCTGAGCGGTCTAGGCGTCTGACTTTGTGTGCTGGCGATTAGGTGCCTGACTCTGAGGGTGTGGGTTCGAATCCCGGATGGGACTCAACCCAAGAAAAGTACTCGAATCTGTACTTTACTAAGAAAGTGTAATCCCAAATATGACATATGTTAAAGACATTCCTTCCCAAACCCAGAATGGAACCCAGGAAATGGTATCAAAAACGCAACCTGATCTCGGAGATGTAGTCTGTCTCACAGTCCCAACACCACATTATTTTCCCTACTGCCAAGCTCTCTCTGCAGTGCTAAAGCCCTAAATAAAGCAAGTCTAGATTTCCTCAGGAATCTCTGGTCTCCCTAGGGCTCCTTTTCAATTTAAATGGGCTTGTTTGTTCCTATCAAAATCATATATATTCAGAGACTAAGCATTAGTCTATCGGAGATGGTACGCCGTTCTCTATGTTTTGCATGCAACTCATGCTGCACGTGCTGTTCACAAGGACCAGCCATATAAAGTGCACCCCCAAACGTGGTTGAAACATTCACATTACAACGTCAGCAGGATGCCTCGACTCACGACAGCTCAGAGGAACCAGGCACTATTAAGACTTGAAGCTCGCCAAACTGCACAAGCACTTCCAGGTCAACGTTCGGACCATCTACAGGCTGCAGCAACGTTTCCGGCCCACCAACACCACAAAGGATAGACCAAAGGTGACAACAAGACGACAAGACCGCCATGTTGTGCGACAGCATGTACAGAATCCCTTCATGCAGACATCACGTCAGACAGTGGGAACACACGGAAGACCAATCAGTACTCATACAGTACCCCAACGTCTTAACAGTGGGAATCCCCATTGCCGTAGACCTTACCTCGGATCTATCCTCACCCCTCGTCATCGGCA